ACAACAACAACAAAAAAAACCCAAAACAAACAAACAAAAAATAAACCACAAACAAACCAAACCAAACCAAAAACCAGAAAGAAAAATAACTTACATTTATTTTGATTTTGTATGCCCGAGTAACTTCATATCTCTGACTACAAATCTGCCCACAGTCAGCTTTAACAATGTTGCCTTTTTTTTTTTTTTTCTGAGACCATCCACTTGTATCAGACCTAATGGAGCAACATGGCTGTTTCATTGGCAAACGATGAAATACTTCCTTTTGCTTTATTTTTAATAACTAGAAGTGTTTTCATAAGTAGCTGTATTCTGTCCAGAGTCTTGGAGCGTTTGTTTGCTTTTGATTTTGTACTGATGCAGTTACTAAAGTGTGCAGAAGTTAATACTAAAGCTCTGGCAGGAAGTACAGTGGAAGGTGGGTTGCGGTGCGAAGGCGCAGTGACCTAGGAGAGACTTAAACTTTGTCATCTGATGCAGCATATGTTAGGAAATAACATTTGCATCAACCCTTCTCACCTTGATTTAGACTCATATTTAAAAGAAAGGGTCTTACACAGCTTGTATTTGGAAATTAAATTTCTTGGGCTTATGGCATTAGATTTAAATACTAAAATTTCACTGCCGTTGGGAAGAAGGGGTGTGTGGCTTTTTCAGATCATGTTATCTGACCAGAGTGTTTTCTGGATGTCTCAGAGTAAAATGAAACGAAACCACTTGAACTGTATTACTTAACCTTCTTGCCAGAGCAAACTATAGATGGAAAATACTTCCTTTTAAGACTACTGAAAACCTTTTCTGGTGTGCAGTTCCTGTTCTTATGCTAAATGTGAGAATTAAGTGAGGAAAAGACAAGAATTTAGTAGTAAAGAAACAATCTGAAGCCAAACTGGTTGGAGAAGGAAGGATGAATGCCTCAAGCTTAGTCTTGCAAGGTACTGAGCACGTTAGCTTCTGATTCATCCTAACACTTCTCTCCAGTTTTGCAAGTAGTGTGGTTGAAATCAGTGTTATTATTCATCCTCTGGTGAAGTGTAGTGAAGCATACTTATCCTCAGTGAAGCCTATCCCTACGTGCTTCTGTGGATTTGGACTAAGGGGTGTCGAACATGATTGGCTCAAGCTCTTGAAAGTCCAAAGTTTCACCATACTTGTTACTAACAGGACTTGATGTCATTATTCTAGCATCAAATGGCATAAGTCAGGGAAAAATGTGAGCAAAACTCTTCAGCTGAATTTGAGGGTTAAGAAAATATCTTGTAGAATGCTTTATTGGCTTATAATCGGCATGAATGTATTACCTTACCAGTTAAACCCTTAATGTGCTAAATGGTTATACAAATTCGCAGTAAGAAGTTAATTCTTTGCCATTGGAGTTTGCAAACTTGGTGCAAACAAAACCAGATTGCAAAGTGGGGAAGGAATTGTACCAAATAACTGGAAGCATGCTGAGTTCTTACAGTAAATGCAGCAGCTTTCTTCTAGTAATTGTTGCAGAGCTGTTATCCATCAAAGCTGTTAGTGTCACTCTAAATTATTGTATTTGCATGGTAAGCTTTCCGTAACTGCTGCTGTTTTGAGAAGGTGGGAGGGAGCTCATAAAACATCCAGGCATTCGGTCATGTTGGAACTTCTGAGTAGCTGCTGAGTACCCAGTTCTGTAGGATTTCAAGTGTCTTGGCTGGTGTCTGAATCCGCAGCATCAGTGATATAGATATTTAAAACAAACAAACAAAAATGGTGCAAGGCTTTTTATTTTATTTGTAAGGCTTTTTAAAGACTTAAATTCAAGCCATACCCTAATGGCTTTTTATGAGTATATCCTCTGTTGCAATCAAGGTAGTATTTTCATATACTGTATCATTTGAGGAAGTAAAGGTAGAAGGGAGTAATACTCAAACTCTTGTTTTATATGTAACTGCAAAATATGTTATGTCAAAATAGCATATGAATGCTAATAAATACATTGGTGTACTTCACTTTTTCAGTCTGTAAACATCTAAAAATTTCACCATCATCTTCTGGTTAAAGCAGTTTTATTTCATAATAAAGTGGCTGATAATGCATTATTCAGTGCCACACTATTCAGAAGGTATCCATACATTTCATTCTAAGCTGCAATATTTCTGTGTCAGACTCTGATCAGAATTATGAAACGAAGATATTTAATATTCTTTGTGGAAATGTCACAGCCTCCGTATACAGACTTTTTCATTCTTGAAAGAAAGCTCATCTTTCTCAATGATTTCTGGAGAAGTGGGTGGAACGATGTTGAATATCTACACTTTCCAGCATGAAAACCTTTTTCCACTAACTGTGTTTTACTCAGATCTGGCAGTCTCTCCAGATACACCTGCAATCCTGAAAACACACTTTTCTTTGGGGGGAGGGGGCCGAAAACCTAGCTGGTCCCATTTTGGACCCTGTGAAAGTGGTGGCTTTTGAAGATGATGTTTATAATTGTGATAAATTTTATTAAGAACTGAGAACTGTTTTTGGTACTCATTTGTAGTCTTTAGCTACGATTAGGTTGCACAAGTTCTGGAATTTAGCCTTTCTGCTGTCAAAGTCAACGAAGCGTTGTTTGTCATGGGTGTATTTTACAAAAACATAAACACAGCGTATTTTAGGTTGATATTATAATGTGTGTGCATCCCAGGTTCTGAACTGTATTACCAGCTCTATAAAGCAATAATTATTTTCTGATCTTTTTCTCATCTGTCTTGCATGACAGTAATCTCTTGCTCTGTTTTCTGGCTCTTAAACATCATTTTGTGGTTTTTTTTTTTTTTTTTTTTTTTTTTTTTTTTTTTTTTTCCCAGCCTACAAGATCTCAAATATCCTATTATTTTAAGATTTAGAAATATTTATCTTTGTATATTCTTTCCCTCCATTAAATGTGCCAGTGGAAACATGACTTGATTTTTACTGTGAATGGAGGAAAAAAAAATATCACATGAGCAGACTGTTTCTGCAGCATCATTCTTCTAATTTCAGATGTGCAGCATGAAAGCAGCTGCAGTCAGCTGACAGCTTGTGGTCATGTTCGGATATGTGTGGGGAAGGGGCGTGCTGGTTTAAATGCATAATAAAGCTGTTGTTTCGTCACCAGGAAGCAGGGCTGGTAGCAGCCCAGGGGAAATGAGAGACAGTAATGTTGCTGTAGTGGAAGGGAAGTCTTGTTGCATAGAGCCAGAGCTCTCTGCAGGCAGCTGTTAGCATGCACCAAGGCAAAATGGCACAAATGTATTTTGCTTTCTGTAAGGGTAGAGGATAAGTGTGAGGAGCAGATAAAAGCCTGAGATGGACGTGCTCACGAGGAGGATGAAGTTATTTTTTATGCTCTACTGCCCTTTACCTCTGTTGGTACCTTCCGGTGAAATCAGTGTAGTTGTATTTTTAGCTTGCTCTATGCAACATCAATATGACAAGATAATTCTGTCTTTACATCTGTAAGCAGCTTTTACTATGTTTTCCTGTTTTCTGCCAGCTGCAGTTTACAAAGGATATCACAGCACTGGTAAGAAATGTACAGTAGCCATTTCTCTGGTGGTTTTGCAAGGCATGTTTTTCTTAATTTGTGAGAAGCAAGAATACAATACAGTAAGTCTGTTGGAAATGAACTAGATAGTCTGAGCTGAGTTTTCTTCATAATGCTAATCTCTTAATTTGTGGTTTGTGCCTGTGTTATTTGGTTCGTTTTCTCTTAGCGTGCTTTAATATTTTGCACTTCACTAACGCTCCGTGTAACATTGCAGCAGTATTGTAAATGCCTCGCCCTCCTCTGTACTTTGCTCTCTATTAATTTTATGGCTGCACTTGAGCTTTTATAACCTGTCTAGTGTTAAGACAGGGCGCATTGATATTCTGGAATTGAGCATGTTATGAATTGGAGAGGAAATGCTGTGATATGATACCACGCCTTAGTGTGTAAAAGCCCTGAGAATTCATTTTAATCCTCTGTTGCATTGGCAGGCTCTGCATTGGCTATTTATTTCATTATGTTTAAACTGAACAAAGTCATGCTAAAGTTTTTCAGTAACAGGTTATTGTTTAAGTATTTTCTCATTGATTTATTATTTTGAATGTTCTGTTAATTTCACAGAAATTAAATGCTGCTTCTCTAAAAGGCTACAGAAACAATATGAAGTGTAATATAACCATATTTTCTCAGGAGCCAGACTCTTAAACATAAAGGTGCAAATAAACATGCTAAGGAAATTAATTTGAGATTTTAGTTTAGTGTGTGGACAGTGATTGATGTGTATGAATTTTCATGGTTTGTACCTTGAACTTCATGATGCTAAATATTAATAATATTTTTGCAGTAAGGTTTGTGTGCCATGTAGTGGCTGTCTCCTGTGAAATATAAGATGACTTAAGGGGTGTTGGCTCACAACAAAGATATTTCTGCTTCAGGTTATTCATTTTATATTTAGAATCAGTAGTTTTATGTAGAAGACATGTTAGAGGAGTGTGCACATATATATATTTGTGTGTACTTTTCATATGTACTGTATTAAGTGAACAGAATTCTTTTATACACTAAGTGAACAGGAATTTTTTAGTGCTAGTTGAATATATTATGCAGCATTTTAACCTGTCAATTGCTGTGAAATTCTGGTTTCCATTGGTGAGAAGTTTAAATGGGAAGAATGTGTGAAGCATCATGATAGAAAGCAAAATTAAAGGGGAGAAAAATACTATGATTTGTGCTTGTGGATATTGGGACACCTGCCTCAGTGCCCTGTGGTATTTCATAGAATTGGACATCAGTTCTGTTTGCTAATTGTTGAGGGAGAGAGTGTTGTATTGTGATGATTTTGCTTGTTCTGTGTTTCTGCGCACAGGGGACATAGAATGCTGTTTCATCTAAAATTATTGATAGTATAAATTTTGTACTTGTGTTCCCTCTCTTGAAGTTTGCTTATGCAAATGCTAGATGGTGAACTTTTCCATCTCCCTTACTACTGAACGCTCACGTCATCTTCTCTCCACAGGCGTATTCCCAAGATGCCTACCTGAAAGGCAACGAAGCCTACAGTGGTAATGCTCACAACATCCCTGAACCACCTCCGATATGTTACCCACGCCTGACATCCACAGCTTCTGTTACAGCACAAGCTGGTGACAAAGTATCTTCGGACTTCCTGCTGGGGAAACAGCAAGTCAGTAGACCAGTACGGGCATTGACACAGCCAGAGAGGGCCTACAGAATGGAAATACAAGTGCCTCCATCACCAACAGACATTGCAAAATCAAATACAGCCGTGTGTGTTTGCAATGAAACCGTAAGGACTGTTATTGTGCCTTCTGAGAAGGCTGTAGATTTGCCATCTTGTAGAAATAATCATGCTGTTCCATCACACAGGACAGAGGAGGTAAGATACGGCTTAAAAGATCAAACCGGTCTAAAAGCGCGGGCCACATCGCCACCTTCTTCAGTGTCCACTGCCATTGTACTTCCCCAGACTCCAATAACAAGGCCAGTTGATCCAGCTGGACCGCTCAATAAAGCTTCAAATTATGTAGTATGTGCAGAGGGAATCCCAAGCACTAGGCCTCCTGCTCAAGCTACAGACTCGCCCTCGGTCTCTGCTAACCATTACAGTTCACCAGCCTCCCACCAGCACATAGACTGGAAGACGTACAAAACTTACAAAGAGTACATTGATAATCGGCGCATGCACATGTATGGCTCCCGGACCATACAGGAGAGGCTGGACAGTTTAAGAGCAGCTTCTCAGAACACAACGGATTATAATCGGGTGGTGCCGAATCGCACTGCCTCACAGGTACGGCGCAGGAGCACCTCTCACGACAGAGCCCCACAGGCCGTCCAGATACGGCAGAGGAGCGTATCCCAGGAAAGACTGGAAGATCCCGTCTTGATGAAAGAGTGGCCACGAAGTGCTTCGCAAGATACTCTGACTTCACCTTCAGTTAATGCTAGGAATCACAGGGCTCGGTCGTGGGATTATCTCAGCAAACAGGGTGAAGTGCTAGAAAATTTTCATTCTGAGAATCTGATTGCAGATATGAATGGAGATAGGAGAAAGACGTACAAGTGGACAGGGTTTACCGAACAAGATGATCGGCGAGGTATTTACGAGAGATCTAGGCAGCATGCATTTCATATGTCCCTTCGAGGTCAGAATTTTTCTACGGCTCCCAGTGCTTATATTTCAGACAACAGGAGAACAGGTAGTAGAGCTTCTCTGCCTGGTTCTCACTTTCAGAAAGTTCCACCAGATATGAAAACATTACAGTCTTCTCGAGACTTGCAAACTCCTGGGGGAGTTTCAAAACCTACAACTGTTTCACAAGAGAGATTGTCTCTCACACCAGCCAGAAGTTCTAAAAGTAGCTCTTTGAAGAACTCTGCTCCCTATGCAGCAAAATCATTTCCCCTTAATCAGGGCCTGGATGCTATTGCCAGCAAAGACCAAAGAACAGTAAATCACTTGCATCAGGGTGGTCTGTTAAATCAACAGTCGAGGATCCGATCAGAAGGTGCCCCAGATCACAAAACAGAAACTGGCAAAAACATCCAACCCTCCTCTCTGTCTCCAGCTTCTGCCAAACTTATTCAGCCAACAAGTGAGAGTTCAGCTACCTCTGACAACATAGATGGTTCCATCAGACAAAAGACTCACGATTTTGAAAGGGAAGATTTCCATGAGCCTGAAATTCTGCAAACGGATGTTCAGGAAAATGACAAAGACATCGTGGTCATGCGGGACAAATCACCTTCTGGCCATCAAACCCCACAGCCTTTGAGGCATCACTCCTACATCCTTGCTGTAAATGACCAAGAGTCAGCTTCAGACACTACCTGTTGGTTACCGAATGATGCTCGGAGGGAAGTCCACATTAAAAGAATAGAAGAAAGGAAAGCATCAGGTTCCAGCCCACCTGGTGATTCCCTGGCTTCTATTCCATTTATTGGTGAGTTAAACTATTCCAGTGTACATCGAATGCTTTTCTCTGCCAAAGATGGTGGAGGACACCATGCTAGACAGCTGGCTGCTGTAAACCCTGAGGATGAGGGGCTCTTGTCTCATCTAGAGTAATACTAGGTTGGCAAAACTAAAAATTTACTTCACTGGAGGAATAAAATGTTCTGTTTGGAGTCCTAGAGGATTTGTGTGTGTAAACAAACAAAATATATCTCTACATTGATTTAATATCTTTCTAGAATTTTTCTTAAGCCCGTGGGAAAGTCTACATTATATAACTCTGCCTTGTTGTCACTCCGCATAGTGCTCTGACGTTATGTATATGGACAACTAGCATCTTCAGCACCTCTCAAAATACTTTTAGTTCTCTAGTATAAAATATATTTGGATTCCAGTAAAGACAGAATATGGATACCAATCAAATTACATAAGGGTAATTTGTGGAAAAAAGTTTGTCAGCTGAATAGATAGTGAAATTTTCTGAGACAGTTGGGAAAGAGAGGAAAGTTGTTTCAGGTGAAAGCATAGCAATAAAATGATGTGAATTTGCATGTAGAGGTGCTAATGTGAATTGAATTAAAGGGTTTGTGGTAGCAGAATGTGAGAAGGCACAAAGATTTGCCAGTGGTCTGTGATACAAACAGGATTGGAATTACAGGGAGTTTATAGGAAGGGGGCTGAGCACTTTTGAGACAATCTGGAAGAAAAGAGGAACTCACATTAGTAGGAAAGAAATATTTAAAAAATCCAGATTTGGATATGTGAGGAATTGGAGTTGTCTGCTAAAGACAGAGTTTTAGTGGCAGAGCATTTTGGTTCTACTCAAGTAGTCAATGCCTGTGTCATCTTTCCCATCTGTTTTTGTTAATTTTTTTTTGCTGTGGCTGGTTTAATGCTTTGGTGTCTACATGTCTGTGCACCGTTTTTCCACATGGATTTCTTTTTATACCTCACTGCTGTTGAATTCGGTATTAGAAGTATCTAGAAAATACTGAATTTTGATTCTCAGACTCACATATGTGAAACACAACTCTTCTTACTACCTTTCAGGTTTTTTACAGATTAGGTTAAGGAAGTTACAGATACAATGTCTTAGCACAATTGTCTTCTACTGTGAGTCTGCAGCAGAGATTTTTTTTTTTCTCCTAGAATTATTTATAATATCTGCTATTAGTTTAAAGCCAATAACTAAAAACAGTGAAGAAGCTTTGTGTGCATCAAATAATGGAAATAGTATAAAAGATATAATAATTCTGGGGTTTTTTGAAAGACTTTTGCTAAGGCATAACAAAAATGCTTTTTTAACCAGCACGTTGGTTTTATATTGAGCTTTCCTATTTGAATGGGAGTTATATAATTTTTTTTTTTTTT